CCGAAAATTTGTACCTTTTGTCTTTAAGCATATATACAATATTTATTGAAGAAAGCGCGCCGTTATATTTAAAGAAGTAGAATAGACTAATAAAGCAACATTGTTGTTTTTTGGCCTTGAAGGACACCAATAAAGGTTTCTTTATAAAGAAAAATAGCTAACTATGGCCATTTCAGAATAATGTTTAGTTCATCAGTAGTGCCCGTGTTTAGGTATGAAATTGTTGCGTGCATAACATAACCTCACTTTTTGAAAAATGATTTGTCTCCTACACAGTATATGTAGGCCAACGCATATTCATGTTGAAAAAAAATAAATAAATTAAATATATACACACACCCATTGCATAAGTCAGCAACATCAACAACGAAATTTCGTCAAAAACTTAGCTAAGATCTCGAAAAGTCAGAAAGATTTTGTGCTACAAAATTGCCATTTGAGATAATGTGCCCACAGCGGAATTTTTTAAATGTTCATGACTAAAAAAACTATTTATATAACTTTAAAAAAGCTATATTTACAAAAACTGAAAATTTGTCACGCACAAATGAGATCTCGAAAATTTATCTTGTGGGCGAAAATCTCAGAATTTTGTTTCATTCTAAATGAACATCTCAAAAATTAAGAAAATTAAATACAAATTTTCAATATTTAAACACTAACACACCCGCACAAGCAAATAAATGTATATGTATGTATAAAAGCTGTACTCTTTCAAAAGCATGCCAGTTTTTCATGTATATAACTCGATATTTTTCGCATGGGGTTCGAAAACACACACACTCAAATGATATGCGAAAGCGTGAAATACACGTATGTATTAATTTTCCAAATTTTCGAAATTTCTTCAGTGCCATACAGTTGGCCACTGCCACTGTACTGCCCACCCAGCCGCACACTGCTGCTTTGAGGGGTTTTAGAAGCGCGTGGGTGTTGCTAAATATGCCGTACACAAGTCCAAGTTTATTGCTTTTCCTTTTTTTTTTTTGGTTTTTCTTTTTTGCCAAACAGCACAAAAACATTAATATTGAAAATAATTTTGAAATGAAATTTTCGTACACCGTATGAAGGCTCTCTCAATTTTCCTGCTACGCTCAAATCACTTACGGCAAATGCAAATAAATATGTATGCAGATCTATATATCTATCTATGTATATATAATATGTATGTATGTACTTGTACAATATAAAATTCATTTAAACCGACCGTCTGGCTATGGCCAATGGAATGTACGAGATGATGAGCTAATTTGTATGGCTGTGCAGAGTGCTACGGACTACAAAGGCCACTGGGTGTGCTCTCTTCTCCTTGCCGTATAAGTTTAATATTTGTACATACATACATACATACATACATATGTATGTTTCTATGTATGTATGTATGTATGCATGTATGGCGCGTCAATATTAAAATTCAAATATTTTTTCTACATTTGCTGGTGGATTTTTTCATTTTGTTGTTGTTGTTTTTTTTTTTTTTGTTAGTATATGTATACAAAACATACATACACATTTGCGAAAAAATCATATATTTTTTTATATAGTACAATAGGAGGGATTAAATATTTGAAAATTCAGACAGATGTGGAAAACAACGCCAATTTGTGAAAAATGAAAATTCAGTTGCTTTCGGAATATTGAAAAATTCAGATCATATCCTTAGAAGTTTAAGTAGTGCACGAGAAATAAGCAGAGTAAAATAAATATACAAAATTCCAAACGACGATCTCTAAACAACGAGTACGAATTGACGAACAAGTGAATAACAAACGGGATTTTCTACAAAATTTTAAGTTGGTCGATTTTTGTTGTTTTTTTTTTTTTAAATAACAATTTAATAATAAAATTTTATTACTCTTTGTACATTTTCCATTTAATTAAATTAATAGACCAAACATAATTTTTTTTTTAATATTCAATTATAGTATTGAAGTGTTTCCACATTGAATAGTGTCAATTTGTTACATAATTATTGAGTTTATATTTTTGTATAATTGGTTTGTAATTTTCCTTTACTTTTTTCACCTACAAAAAAGGGCGTTGACAAATTAAAAATTTAAAGTTACACACATACAAAACACACCAAAAAAAAAAAAAAACAACAGAGAAAATGGAATACGTACAATTCAAAAATGGAACCCCACACTACTACAGGGCCCAACCGGACTTGAATGAATGCATTCAATACCAAGTAAGCAACGGAATTAAGGAAAATAAAATATTTTCTGTTTTTTTTTTTCATAAACAGTGCAAAAAATATACCTTTCTTCATTTTTAATATGCGTTTGGGTACAGTTATATATACTATTTAGTTTTTTTTTTTAATAAGTAAATTTGAAATAAATAAGTTACAAAATAATATGAAAATGTTTTAAAAATATATGATTTTTTAATTTATCAAAAATTGTGGAATACAAAATTTCTGTTTCTTAACCGTTGCATAAGCCTAACAGACAGTAAATAAAAAATTCGAAGTGAAAAGTACTGTCAAAGTAATTTTAAAAACACAATTTGCTCATTATTAATTACTAAATGTCCGCTTTTTTACGTTTTGGAAGCTTTATAATACTTTCTTTATATGATATGCATACATACATACATGTTTGCCTCTCTTATTGAAATCTAGTCACAAATACATCAACACTTATCTATGTACAACAAAATATTATGGAAGTTTTCCAATAACGCTAAAATTCCTACGTTCTTCAATCTTATATACAGATCTACATACACACATATGTTTATTCATTATAAATATATTTTTGCGCATTAAAAAATTAGAAAACGACGAAAATTTTAAATTCACTTTGTAAACAAAGCTCCCAACACACACGCGCATTTGGTTGATCTCTAGAATATTCCAAATCCTAAAGCAACAATAAATACATATACATATATTCATACATTTGTAGTACATATGTACATATGTATGTACGGTTGTTCATGCTCATTAATACAGCAAAGAATATTCAACAAAATACGATACATAGTTAAATGGGTTGAATTTTCAAATTTATGATATTTTGAAAATTCAAGAATTCTTTTTGCGAATATATCGTCTCAGTTTAGTTAAGCCGAAGTACATACATATGTATGTTTATGAAATATATACCTGAATTATTTTTAGAAATGTGAGGAAGCGCAACAAATAAGAAACGTTAGAAAAACTGGCAGAACAAAAAAATAAATATATATATATATATACTTGGGCGGATGTACATAGTATGTTCATATACAAATATATGTATGTATGTATGTGTATGAAAATGAAAACGTTCAATTCGGTGGGAATTATCATTACTACCACAATTAATACTTTATTCATGGTTGGCGGGCAGCTAGATACAAGTATATAGGCACATATACATATATAATTTAGTATATAAATTTCGTATATAGATATTTTTTGAATAGTTTACCACGCCTTTACACATTTGTTGTAAAATAAATTTATTTGCTTATTACCATTTTGACTTTTAGAATGTACTAAAAAGAGAGATTTTATTTTATTTGTATGTATATGAATAAATTTTTTATAAACATACAAACACGTAAATTGCATTGAGCATGTATTTACATATAATATATTCTTCAAATATTTAGTCACAAAAATGCCGTAAAATATAAAAGAAAATAAAACAAAATATATGTATTTACATGTGTCCGTGTAGCTAATACATATGTATTTAGTTGGTTAAATTGGAGATGTATGTGTGAAAATTTAAATTGTATGCTTATTTATACAATAATATGTACATACAAATGTCTATATGCTTGCACATACATATCTTTATAAGCTTGTACATACATACATGCATATATCTGAATGCTTGTGCAACCATACATACATACTATATAAAAATTTTACTTTCACTCAGTAAATGAAAGTATTAATGAAATAATTTTTATGAGCATTTCAACAAGGACATGGCAAAGAGGCGCAAAACGGCATATATACATACATACAAACTTATTAAAGTATCATAAAACATATAAATTCGCACTTCCAATAATGTACAAAAATATGGTAAACCACCATTTTATAGCTACAAATTAATACATTTTCCAAATTATATACACACATACATATGTATGTAGAGGCATAAATTGCAGTAAACAAAATTTAATTAGACCACACCTGCTTGGTCACGTTCATTTTCACTTTTTCACAAATTTCGTGCGCAAAATATTTTTCAAGTTTATTTGTTTAAAAAAATCTTTAATTTCTCTGCTGCTCTGTGTTATTGAAATATGTTTTAATGTCAACATATGTGCACACACTTTTCTATATACATACATACATATTCAATAATATATGCATACATATGGACAAGCATAAATAAAAATAATATGTATATATATATGTATGTATGTATGTATGTATTTTATTTTCGTGTGTGCACTACTTTTTGCCGATTTGAAAAATCATCAAACAACAATTTTTCAATCAAATCTATTTTTGCGTTGCAATATTTAAATATATTGTGTAAAATCTAAAATTAATTACAACGACAACAAATAGCATAACGTAAATATATATATGCATAAAAATTGTTAGTGTACATTTTCATGGTCAACTATAAATTTACGTACACACACACATATGTAAAAAAAGAAAGAAATGCATATGAATGCAAATCTTTCCCCTTAATGCAGTTGGAAACCGTTGGCGTTATGCACCTTTAGACTCTCAAGTGCATACGATTGTTGCCAACTAAAAGCATGGTGCTTTAGCTTTAGAAAATTAAATTAACATTCGTTTGCCAATTTAAATTTAGAATATGCATACAAAGTAAAATTTAAAAAACTAAAATTTAAAAGAGTAAAATTCAAATTAACTGCAATTATTCACAAATATCTTTTTATTTTATTCGCCAGCGCATTGAAAGTAAATATTCTTTTTTTTATATATAAAAATATTTGATTTGTCAAGTATGAAAATGTTTAAAGCTTTAACTATCAAATATATTTACATTAAAAATGTTAATATGACAATGAGTTTGGTTTTATGTGTTCTTTTCATTAAACATATTTACTTTGATTACACTTTACTACGGCTAAAAAAGAAGAATCTCATTTCAACATTTCCCCAAGCAGGCAGTATCGTCCAAAATGGAAGCAATTAGCTGTTTGTCACGCAGTGCGCCATTTACTTCCTCTTCATCCCATTGTAATACCACTTTACATAAACGTGGTTCCTTTTTACGCATAATACGTAGTATGCCACGCGTCTCAATCAAATCAACAAGTCCAGCAAATTCAGCTTGGTCCAATACATGTATATTTCGCTTAGTGCATACACGTCGATATACCTCGTGCAATCGCCCAATTGTAATATCTTTATTGCGTTCCTTACGAAGCATTAGCACTAATGTACACAGGATAATTTTTTGTTGCAATGGAAAGGAGTCTTCAATGTCTTCCTCCAGATTTTGTGAAACACCATAAACCTTATTTAAAACTGCAGCCACTTGTGTCACTTGTACAGGCTTTAAAGTAACTGAAAAACAAAACAATATGCTAATAGAAAAATAATAAATTAAATAAATCACATCTACCTTCTTCCAACTTTTCCTTATTATTGTCTCCTAAAGCTAAGCCATCAAGATTAACCTGCTTTTGTCCTTGTTTCACTTGCTGCTCTGCTATTTCGGCTACTCTCCTACCAATGTCCAATGCGCGTCGCACATCCCCACTCACTGCACTGACCTTGGCTGCCAAAAGTTGTAGAGTAACTGGTGGAAATACATCCAATACACCAGCTTCTTCTAACCTAGCACGGAATATTTCGACTATTTGTTGTTTGGTATAAGGTGGAAAATGCATGTGCTGTGGTTTTAGCTCGCAACGCGCATTAAGACGCATCAAAGTGCGTTCTGTGAGATCGAGACTATTAGCTATACCAACTAAGAGAAGCCGTGCGCCTGGCAATGAAGGCCATTCAAAAATAGTGTACAATACTGATTGTTTGGTTGTACAAAGCTGATCGATTTCATCTAAGACAATGAGTAACATACGACGAGCTGTACGCAAGTGTTGCTGCACAGCTGCGAGATAATCACGTTCAGTGCGACCAACGGGATGCAGTTTAAGTTCAGTGCACAATTTCTTATATACACCATTTATACTGGCTATCGACGTACAGTTAATATAAACACTTTTGAGTTGTTTTGATAGTTCAGGTGACCTTAGCAGTAATGAAAGACATGCTGTTTTCCCAGTGCCAGGTTGCCCTGATACATATAAACTGCCCGAGCGTTGTTCTTCTAAATGCTCTTGAAAGAATTCTTTTAAGTCTTGCAATTGTTGTTCTCGTCCGGGTAAGTGTTGAGTTTCTGCACTATTCAGTACACGACGAGCACTTTGGTATTTATTACGTGAAGGTGTTGCCAGCTGTGTCTCCTGTTCGTCTTTGGTACGTGACTCATGTTCATCCTCATCAGGGTTAACATCCTTACGTTCGTCTATACTTAAGCGATCGATTAGCCTGGATGGGCTTATAAGTTCCGTTTTCTTTCTCCAACGTGGTAGCTTTGGTGGTGAGACATCTAGACCATTTGTTGTTAAATCACTCTCATTCTCACTTTGGTCACTCTGCACTTGGTTGATTCTTTTAGTGGCTTGGGATGTATTTTTGTTTGTTGTTGAATTACGTACTGCCTTGCCACGACGTGGTGTTTTAGGTTCCTGTTCATCTTCGCTTATTACTTCTTTAATTCTCGGTTGTGTTCTACGTTTTGTGTTATTCATAACGTTGCTAGTTTTCGTATTTTCTTTATCAATTTCCGCTAACGTAAGGAATTTGCTGCCTTCAATTTCTTCTTCCTCGTCGCTACTTGTACAATGCTTTATTTGGCGTCTACGCCAGAGCTCTGAACGTCGCGACGGTGTTTGAGCACTTGTAGCTGCTAGTGTAGGTGTTGATTTACCAACACTACTCAGTCTAGTTGAACGACGTACTGCGGACATTGTTTTAAAAAGATTAAATTAAATTTATTTTGTTTAAAAATACAAAATTTCAGTCTTTTCTCTCAATAATTTTGTATAATATACAAGCGAAAAGTTAAAATCAGATTGGATGGCGCCAAATATGACAAATGACTCTTGACACATCTGTCATCAATGGTTGCCATTTATCCCAGCACAGGGTGCACTGGTTTAACCAATAAGTATAATGCATACCCTGCACAGCTCTTACTACTCGCATGAAACTTTCTTCCACCGAAATTTTATTTAAGATAAAACACAATATCTAAGCAAATGCTACAAATATTTCCATTATTTTCCATGCCTAAGTAAACTATTCGAGACCGAAAGCTACATTCGTTAGGCAGCATTACGTAATTTGCTATAAATACATAATGAGTGTGCTATATAAAAATAATGGAATCGAGAGCACCTACATTGGGAGAGAAATGAGAGAGATACATTTAAATGTTATTTACACTTGTATATTGATAGATAAATATGACTGACTAGCTGATTTCAAAAAGATATACATAGGTATAAACAAAAGTATATAAGTAAATGTTTAAAGAAATTTTCTAATATATTTGTCAGTATTATTTTGTGTGTATTTATTTTTATATTGATCTACAGATAGATTAAATTGTCTTTTATTTATACATACGTCTGTACGTTATATTCAGTTTTGTCATATTTTTGCGGCTTGAACATTTTTCAATAATAAGATCTCCGCTAGATAATTTGCTGGCTTTCATTTATTTGAAATGTCGTATTATGATAAAAAAATTAAAATCTGGTAATAGTTTATATTTTGATTAAGGAGGCTAGTATTTTATTGATTGCCCCTAGTATATTTTAACATATTTAACCGAGTAAAAAATTATTTGATAATTTTTATGCCTTTTACTATTTTTTTTAGCCCTACCGAACAACTCCATTGGTGCTTCCCGGTGCCAAAGTAAAGAAGGATGCTCCAACCACAGAATCATATTTGAGGTATCACCCAAATCCAGCTGTGCGCGCTCATCCCGGCCACGATTTCCATGACAGTGTGATGAAGCAACGCGTTGCTGATACCATGTTGCACAAGGTTGTCGGTCATGATGCCGATACTGGCAGGGTAAGTAGATTTATATATTCGCTTTAAATTAACTTCGTCGACACACTACTAAAAAACTAAAATTCCTTAGTAAGTCATCAACATTAATCATATTTCATACATACAGGTATTCCATAAACAATTTAACTCTCCAATTGGCCTGTACTCAGACAGCAACATTGAGAATACCATCAGACAAACAGTTCCGTAAGTATCAATTTTTATTCAATTACATCAGTTTCATTTCAATTATTATTCAATATAGTAAACGAAAAAAGATTAGTCCACATTGAATAATCTACATGATTTTGTAGTTATACATACTGTAGAAAAAGAACTATTTGCCTAGTTAAATAATATTGCTAACAAATTTTAATTATGCAATATAAAAGCATTCGGAATTTAGATTTAAAAAATGAATTTAAAGTTAAAATGTTCAGGCAGCACTTCTTTTTCCTGTAAATTTGCGAGATTTCTTTGTATCACCCTGTAGAAATGATGAGTGAGCTGTCATCGAATAATATGACGTCGGAGAGATTCACAAAATTTAAGTTGTTTTCCTAACGTTATATTAAATTGGATTGTTTCGTTTTTATGAAAAATAATATATTGAATGTTCATACGTATTCAACGTATTCAACGTTTTTTAGGAAATAGCATTTTGAAAAAGGGAAACGAGAAAAAAGTGTTGCAAAGTTCACTATATAGAGAAACCGGAAAACGCTACTGTTTTATTCGGCTAAAAAAACAATGTTTTGTGGTTGCTTTTGGAAATTTTGTTTGAAGTAATTTAAAGTTGGAATACTCGCATTAAATGTAGTTAAACATTTATCTTTGTTTCTAAGTTCCAAATGCTCTGAGTATATATGCCGTATATGTAGATCGCTTATAACACATATACACAAATGTTTAATTTTGCCTTTAGTGTGGTCATATATTTAGTTGCCAGGATTTGTAAAATACTCTTTTTAAAATGTATGTATGTTTAATAGTATTGAAATTGTTCGGCTTATGCTTTAAATATAGTGGTGTGTCAAAATATTATTATTTTATAATTGCACTCGCTCATTACACCGCTTTGTTAAAAAAATATAATTCGCTTTAAGAAGGCAAGATTTCCAATTAGATTTTTTCTCTTTATATTTTAACATACATATTCGGGACATTTTTACATATAAATTTATAATAAATGCAAACAGACATGATTAATATATTTGAAAATCAATAAATCTTGGCTTTTGCATAAGCTTTATTCGTAATTTGCGCACCAGTTTCGCTTATATGGATGCACTTAAATACATATGTTTAAATGGCTGCACGCCCACCATAAGAGAAATAATGAATGTTTATAGCTTATTTTATTAGTTAGTTTCTTGACTTTGAAAAAATTTGTACATTTATAATATTTAATTTAATGTATTTATATAGAAAATTTGTAGCATAGAATTTGGTGCTTAGAAAAAAACAATTTTTTTTTTTTGAAAAAATAGCACCTATTGTTCGTGTATTCGATATATCGCAGACATTTTAATAACTTTATACCCTACCATAAGTTATGTTATATAAATACAAAAAAAAATATTAATTATTATTGTTGTAGTGCCAGTACTGAAAGTCCGCGTAAAAGGATTAGTCCTTTGCATCGTCCAATGCCAACAAAACTTGACCGGTAAAAGTAATTTTTGCAAATCAACTAAATGAATCAGACAGTCAACCAACCAGTAATCAGTCAGTCAGCTCGATCGTTCAAAACAGTCAATTATTCAATAGTTCATAAAGTCACTGCATTATCTATTTTCAATTAATCATTAGCAGAGAATGCAATTTTTGGTAGTTTGATGGCTGATTGAAGAAATATTTATTATTTATTTTTGAATCTATGCCCTGAATTCTTTATCCAAGCTGCACTGCTGACCACTATTAGTGTTTGTTTTGTCATTTAGTTAAATATTTGTTTACTTAGGTTTCAACTAACTGCTGTGGACAACATCTTTTTAATTTTTATTATTATTTTTGTAGTATTTGTATATTGCTTCTTGCAGCTCCAGTTATGAAATGTGTTTGTAAATTTTTTCATACGACATTTATAAATTTCAACTTTTCTTATTAATATCACCAATTGCTCAAAACACATACAGAGGCACACTTTAAACTATCCCACTCACTTCGGAGTACAATTTTATATTTACTTTTGTTGTTAGCACGAAGGCAAAATCAGGAATTTGAAGGTCAATGTGTTTGCCTGCTGACAAATAACACAAGTCGTAGTACATATTGTATGTATATACATAAATGTATAAATATACATTTTATTAAGTTTGTTATGTGCTTTAAACAAATTGAATTTAAATCTTTTGTGAAATTTGCACGTCCGCAATGCTGTCATGTAGGGAAATGAATGGGCAACACTGTCTAGCGGGATGTTTGGTAACACTGAACGCAAGCAATATGGATAAAGTGCATATTGGACTGGCGTTTTCTACTTAAATGATTGCTACAATTTAAAAATTAAATACCGTAATACACTTTTTTAATATACAATTTTTATTGCCATAATATTATTTTCATGGCAATGTTTATAAAAGAGGAACAAAATGTAGCCAAAAACGGAGGCGAGTTTACAGTTTTCCGTGTTAGCTGTCATCAGTGCAGTTATAATTTTCATTCAATTGATATTTATCCTTACATAAATCCTGTATATTCCTGCACAAAGAATTGTGAGTTGTCTTTCTTTTTTACTAATTCAGTTAATTAGTTTTATTCTTCTTGCGGTACGAAATCCGGCGTCATATGCTGAAAAGTTATTATTATTGTATTTTACACATATTATAGGCACACACTATGAAAATGAAAGCTATGGCGTGTTAGGTTATGTTATGTTTTATTTGGTAGGAGAACCCTTGTATCTAATACAATTAATTAAACAATAAATTTACTCCAAATACTACAAATAAATACAAAATATACAGACATATGTTTAATAAATAAAACAAATGAACAGATATAGATTTCGTAGTCAGTAGTTACACAAACGAAGGTGATTTAATTAAATATTATATATAATATGTTAAGTAGTGTTTGAATTTTTTTCAATTAAAAACAAAACGTATTAATATTTTGCATAAAAAGGACAAATCTGCACAATTAATATTAGAATTTTCATCGATCTATCTTTCCTGGAACATAAACGAAAAATACTGGAGCAACAAAAACTTAGAGAACTGAAAGAGCAGCAAGAACAGCGGACACGTCATTTGCAATAAAAACAACTAACGAAAAATTCAAGAATTTTGAACCAAAACGGAAATAAAATCGGATGAAATCAAACAGACACCAAAATATAATACAAAAATGAGAAGAGTATATAATTTGGACATTAAATTTACAACGATGCAAATTTAAATCACTGTGTGACCTAAAGAAAGGAAAATAGAATTTTTTTCAACTTAAAACTTTGTGCGTACAAACTAAAAGCTGAAGTTTTCCTAGAAACTGAGAGTTTTTTTTACTAATAACATAAAAAAATATTTATATATATAAAGTTAATTGCCATGATTGATTAATTGGTTTTATTTTTTTTTTACAATGCTCTTTAAATTGGCATGTGGTATTCAAGTAAGTTTTACAAAATGTGAGGTTATAAACAAAACAAAAAAAAATTGAATTGGTTCAAAGAATTGTATAGAAACTTTTATTTTTTTTGTTCAATTGGCCTGTGATATATTTTAGGGTAATAATAAATTAACGAAATATTTATTGGAAACATTCAAAAGAAATCTAAAACTATCAACACTAAAACTCATGTTTTTACTCGTATCATGCTAAAACATACATATAATAAGTATTTTAAGAGTCTAAATTGGAATTTTCAAAATTAAATGAATGCATTATTTACCTTCAAAATTATAATTATCATTCACTGGTGCACAACTCATCAATTTTAATGCGTATCTCTCATGTTCGATTCACTATCGGGTGCTTTTCCATTGGTTTACTGCCTTGCAGAGCAGAGAGCAAAGCTTAAGCACTTATTCATGCTACAAGACTTATAACGACATACATGTATACATGTGTATGTATTAATACATACATACTTGAATTTTTTTAAAACAATTTTAAGCACAATTTTAAAATGAATACATAGAAACTGTGTTAACCCAAGGGTAATGCTATTGTAGTTTTGTTTGACTAACGGTTTTTTGCATAGAATTGCTTGAAATGTATAATAATAGTTTAGTACTTAGGAGTTGCTGCTGCATATGTAAATACATACATATATACATATATCGATGACATTACATAATCTATCATTAAAACATATACATATATATACGCACACATATATATATATATATATATATAAAGTTGCATCTTTCGTTAAAATATATACATATATATTTACTTAAGTACATTGCTCAAGCAAACATACTTACCTACATACATACATACATACATATGTATACATCCACATTAACTAAACTCATTACTGAAAGAAAATATTAATGAAAACATAATTATTAAAATGTTTGCAAAATTTTAATGACTTATTAATTCTAACGTTTTGTGCACATCCTGTTTTTTCTTTCTCTCTCTCACACACAAACACATACACAAATTCTCTACGCAACTGCAATGTCAAAAAAAAAATTAAATAAATAAATAAATGTACATACATATATGTATGTGAAATCTATATCGTATATGCAAAATTAAAATTCCTACTTAATTCGCAATGATTGAAACTGAACTTAAACTAACATTGGAAACAACAAAAATTTTTATGCAAAACAAAAAAAAAAAAACATAAAATCAAAATTTAAAACAAAACTACGCATAAATACTAAAACAACGCATATTAAAAAATAAAAAACAATTTCAAAATCTGTAATGCACTCTGAAAATTAAAAACGCTTCGTTGCGTCGAAAAATGCATTGAACTGTGCCACTGGGCGGCCGCATGACACCTAAACCAAACTAAACCAACCAAATGCGCCATCGATACTGTGGCATGGCTACATTCAAATGAAAATAATACAAAATTCCATCTATATACATATATATATATATATATATATATATAATGCATATCGTTTACATATTTACCACAATGGAATATGGAATGCTTGCCAAAATGGAACAACAACATTATGACAAAAATTATAAATAATAATAATGAAAAATATATGTATATGTTTATAAAAAAAAAAATAATAATAATAATCAAAATTTTGTAAATGTAATCGCGAACAACGTTTAAACAGTTATAAGAAGACACTTCACTTCGATCCATCGAAGAGCGAAACTTATAGAGTCATACAGGAGGAGGGTTATGGCAATGGTTATGCCCCACAAGAAGTGACAGTGCCCGTACAGCCAAAGGTCTACCAACCAAACCGATTGGTTCCAGGAAAGGTAAGGTCGAAATGACTTGCTGCTTGCGATCATCGAACATCATCGATCACAGATCATCGATCATCGATCACTGATCATTAACGAACATTATCGACTATCGTCGCATTTATACATCGTTAGCACATCTACCGCACGCTCGCATAAACGTGGTCGTCTGTACCAAAAAAAAAAAAAAAAAAAAAAAAAAAAATTATAACATAAAACAACAGCGCAGACATATCGACTTCTCTACGTTAAAAAAAAAAAACAATTAAAAAAATTGTTTAATTGTCAGCAAGATCGTTCATATTTCTTTTGTATAATAAGAAAAAATGTGTTCATTATCATAAAGTATCATTTTAAAGTATTTTCATATTGTAAATGTTTAATATAATATGCTCACTCGCTCATACATTTACTGTATTTCTAAATATGTATCATTGAATAGTGAATTTCGCTGCATGCCACGTTGTGTAACGCATATTTTTAAAAGCTCTCTCGCTCGCAGGCTCAAAACGCTGTAACGCATCATTTGACTCCTTACACGCGCTACCACACCTAATTTGAAATTTTTTCTATTTTAAAAATCGATGGTGTTTTCCACACTGTTTCTGTATTTTTTTGGTGAAAAGTTTTTTTTTCGAAAAAAATTATAAAATTTTTAATTCTAGCTAAAAAGTAGCAAATGCCGCTGTCAAACAAATTATTCATTCTGCTAATTTATTTCTCATCTGTGTACATATACATACAGACATACTTCGCTAAAATTAGATTTTTGTTTGGATTTTTAGAAATTTATCAACAAAACAAGTGACTTTTATTGATTAACAAATATTTTACTTTTTATATGAAATTATATTTAAAAAAACAATTTTTTTCTTTATTTTCTCATATTATCATATGTCTTCACAATATTCATTTATGTTTAGTTTTTAGAGTACATACTCGTATGTATATGTGTGTTGTGTGTTTTGTGTCTCAATTGTTATTTATATTAATTATTATATTTTAATAATTTTACAGAAATCCGGCTCAACGCCCGTTCCCCATACGGCGTACAATGTAAGACGAGTTTAATTTTTATTTCACACATAAATTATTTACCGCCATTTTTCTCCACGTACAGGTGGTAAACACACAAGATGACACCATCCGTCAGAGTTCATCTTTCAATCGCTTGATGTACAGTGTATTGGGTGCGTCAGAATATTAAGTTCTACTTACAAAAAAAAAAAAAATAATATTAATGTCAATTGTTTCAACAAAACACGAGAACCCAACGATGTATCCACAAGAAAAAAGTGTGTAAGCAACAACAACTCATACAGCGAACAATTTAAGTAATGGTAGGCTTGATAAGTAAACACAACAACAACTAAAACACCACCAAAAAATATCAAGAGTATTTACTTTACACAAAAAAAAAAAACACCAACAACAACAATTACAGTACATCCAAGCAAATAAGTGAATATTCGTATATTTAATATTATAACAATGTAAACCTATAAAAATTAAACATTTAATATTAACAAAACCGTAAGGAATTAAATAGCGAAGTACTATCAATTGCAAAATATAATTACTTTATAATATTGATAATAATAATAATAATAATAATAATTACGAAATATACATACAAACAAACCGATATTGTGCGCAAATTAATAAGTTAAACTTTAATTGAAAAGAAAAGAAGAAAAAGAACTGTAATAACTGTATTAGGCGATTCAAAATTTAATTTGAAATAAAATAACAAAAACAAAACAAAAACTAATAAACTATTTCATATTTAATATTTTGCCATAAAAACCCAATTTAAAATACTAACTTTATTAAAGATTGTATTTTATTGAAACTTTAGTAAGGTAAATTTCAAAAAAAAAAGATGAGTGTTTCTAGTCAACAGAAATGAAGAATTCACGTGGCTAGATGAATGAAGAGTTTATACCTCTTCAGATTTCAGCGTGAATTTTTCATTTCCCTGCAATACGCAAACATTAAGAGAAGTTAACCATAGTTTTATAAAAAAAAAAATTTAATAAACAAATAAAGGAATATTTGAACATTGGACTGGAGAAATTCGATAGTATTGTTGTTTTCTTAAAAGGAATACAAATTCGTCGGATAAAGTTAAAGTATAAAGCTAACGACTTAATATTGGGTTGCGTCAATAGAATAATTTTTTTTAAATTTTATAACGAACTTTTATCATTTTTTATGTAATTTCTTTCCGGCAACATCGTGGAATACCACGTTCATAGAACTTCTGGCCTTTATCTGCTAAAAATTGTACCAAGTGCGATTTTATAGCCTCGCCATCTTTGAAAATTTTATCTTTTATCAACAACTCCCAGCCAAGTGCTTTCAGTTTTTGGCGTATGACCAAAGAAGTGTGCGGTCTAGCATTGGCCTGGTGGAATATGACACCTTTACCATGGACCAATTCCGACCGTTTCCCGTTGATGGATATATTCAGTTTGTCGAATTGTTTATAGTCGACATCCGAATGAATCGTTTGATTACTTGGTTTCGAAAATAAATAAGATGCATTCAAAATAATTATGTGTGAAAACCACATCATTTAAATGACGTTTCGTGAATTTATACAAACTTTTTCGACCATTTTTTGACGCATATTGGATGATATAGTGCTCAAGAGTTAAAGGTTTATCCGCACAAACACGTATCAGCCTCAACGGTATCAAATCGCGCGATCTGTGTGCCCAATCGACATAGCCAAGACGAGAGATTACCCGGCCGGGAAATTTCTCTCTCAATAAAGATATAAAAGGTTGTCAAATATCTCCCTTCCGCTTTTTTGTCTTTTGAATTTCGCGGCTATGTACAAAGCGCTACAGATACATAATTTGAAAGGTCTTGACATAACCTACAAAACAACGCTATGCATGGTTAGTTTGGATATTGCGTTCAACAGTTATAAACATGTAAACATGGAGCTCACTAACGCCGAAATTCGCGCTATTTTAAAGTTTTCCTTCGTTAAAGGCAAATCCGCTAGAGAAACATTCCGTGAGATTAATGGTGTTTTGGGGGATGGTACTCTATCACTTCGAACCGCGGAGGAATGGTTTCGACGATTCAGAGCCGGTGAAAACGATGCCATGGATAACCCAGCCGGCGGAAGACCTGTGACGACAAATACCAATCAAATCATGGAATACATCGAGTTAGACCGGTATATGGCATCTCGTGACATCGCCCAGGAGATGGGAGTTAGTCACCAAACCATTTTGAACCATCTGCAGAAGGCTGGATACAAAAAAAGTTTGATGTTTGGGTGCCGCATAATTTGACGCAAAAAAACCTTCTGGACCGAATCAATGTCTGCGATATGCTGCTGAAACGGAACGAACTCGACCCATTCTTGAAGCGGATGGTGACTGGCGACGAAAAATGGACCACATACGAGGCTTGTGAGAAGTGGCTGTCCGAATTCTTCGCAAATAAGGAGGGGGGCTTCTACGAGGAAGGTATTATGAAGTTGCCGTCTAGATGGAAACAGATCATCGAACAAAACGGCGCATATTTTAACTAAATCCGATCACTGTAACACTTTTTTATAAAGCATTGAATGAAGAGCAAAAAAGCGTTTAAGTCGTGTACATCACATCCAGCCCAAAAATGTCGGTTATCATATTACCATATTAATCGGAATTGACACCGACCGACTTTGCCGTTTTGAAGGGAGTAAAGTCGGACCAGACAGAATTTTTTTTTGGTCTCTTTGCAATTGTTCTATGATTCTCGGAGCGCCAAATGAGACAACTTTGCTTACTTACGGGTCCCCAACGTTTCTCACGTAACTCGTCGCTGAAGAAAATTTTCGTTCGGAAAAAACCACATCCACTGCTTGTTGTTCAAACACCCAATCGACGGGTGTACAGCATTGTAAATTGTCAGCTGGTTTCAGTTGTTGTGTGAGCTGGACTTCATATGGATGTACACAGGTGTAAATCCAAGTGCATAATACGCCATAATGTGCCGTAAGAAGGTCTCAGCTTTTGAGAACGTCGAGAAATAGGCACATTCGGGTCTTCAGCTATGCTTTTACTTAGAGTCGCCATGTACTTTTGAGACCATAAAATGGATAATACTATTGTATATTAATTTTATATTTTTTATAACGGTACAAAGAATAGATATTTTTTCATGATTTTCGTTTTATTGAAAGGTCACATCATACCGGTTTATTATAGGTTAACATTTATTGGTCTGCTTTTAGCTCATTCTGTTCTATCTGTTCTATCCGATTTCAATAGCTTTTCGATGGTGTGGCTCTATATGGCTGCAATGGCGATATCAGTTTCGTTTTACAAGTTTTGAATGGTCTCTGGATAGTTGGCATAGCACTTTCCCTTAACGGCTCCCAACAAAAAATAGCTCAGAA